AAAAAAAAAAAAGAAAGAAAGAAAGAAAAGAAATGCCAATCAGAAGAAATATTCAAACTTCTGCCAAGAAGAAAATAAAAGTGTTTCTTTATAATACCATAATCTCATCAGTAGAAGAACTACAGACTAAAGAACACATACATACTTACAAATTCCAAAAGCACTTTAAAAATAGAGATACCCATGTTCCCAAAGATACACAGAGGAAAGATGTACATTCAGTGCTAATAGGACTATAAACAGACTCAATTTTAGATAGCAATAATATCTCAACATATATACCAGCTGGCATTAAAACTACTAGGAATCTATTCTGAAAAAAATAAGACAATAGATGAACAAAGATTTCCATTGCAGAGCTAATTTAAAATAAAACATTACAAAACAATCTAGACATATCACAATAGGAGTATGATTAAACGCATTTTGCTATGCCTAGTCAAACTACTATTACATAGTACTCTAACAGTTAATAAAAAGTTTGAGATGGTTTAAAAATTCTCTGTTAAAATGTTAATTGAAAAATTGGGGTGCAAAATTATATATACTCACAAAATAATCACAGATATTTGAAAATATAGATGAAAATAATGCTATGAATATCTTTATATCTTAGAACTAGGAGTAATTTTTCAGCTAGTTTATATTTTAATATTTTTGTAGTAAATTTATACTATTTATAATCAGAAGATCATGAAAGTGTTATTGAATGGAAAACTTTGCATTGGTACCTACCATGGAAGTTGTCTCTCATTCTTTTGAAATGAACTCAAGCCCAGGATATTTTAAACATTGTGCTACCCAACACTTTTCAGCTCAATTATTAGCAAGAGGCATTAGTGGCATATTTTCTCAAACAAGTTAATATTCATTGTAATTGTGACTGATGTTATAGAAGATGGTAAAATACTATGTAAATGAATTAAACATGACTATGAAAATTTCTTTATAAAATACAATCAAGGTAAGTTGCTCAAAGAAATAGTTACATTCTTTGTGGAGGGCGACATTGCAAAACATTGGGAAAAATCACAAAAATGTAGATAGATTTTGCCAAACAAATATTTTTAATTTTCAGACTACCAAACAAAATATTTTTAATTTTCTTCCTTCAAAGAACAAGAAACAAAAAGTAGATACCATCTAGTATATATTATTAGTATGATTTGTGCAAAAAAGATGAATGAATTCCCAGAAACCACACTGAAGATGAAGGTGTAAAACTCTTGTCTTCTACCAGAACTGCTGTTTTGAATGTGCATTTACATGTTTTAAGCAAAAGAAAAATGATAAATTGTATACGCTTGAGCCAGGCTTTTAAATCCACTAATTACTAGTCCTTCCATGTCAGATAAGAAGGCCTCTATTGCATATTGTAAGTTCATACAAAGGTTACTTGTACTCATATATGTAAGTTATAATTTATTTAAGAACTCATGTCATGAATGTGCTGAAAAGTGAATATGTGTATATACTTGTGTGTACATAAAGATGTTTGTGTGTGCATACTTGTGTGTGAGAGAGTCTGCACACACATGCTATTTATATACCTTGAAATGAACTACTCTACTGGTAGACCAAATCATGCAATCGTGCAGTAGACCTGTCATAAGGAGCTAATTTAGCAAACTCCAAGTGTGAAATTAAACTTTGTGACAATGACCACGGTGCATGTAGGCACCATAGTTCTGGTTGGAAGCATCTCTGTCTAACTTACTGTTCCTTTATTCTTATCAGGAATGGACGGAGCCAGGGAGTTTCTCGTTCAGACATCTCAAGATCAACTCTCTTCTGGGGTTCAAGCACCTAAACCTAAAACACTTAGTACAAAAGTACCATTTACAACCAACTCAGAAGTTTGCCTAGGAACTCTTCAATTAGTCCAACTTTTTAAAGCTTCTTCCTCATGTGAAGCAAAGACTGGCTAAAGGAGCTCAGAAGTCCCAAGTGATGAAGGAAATTACTCTTGTTCACAAACATATAAATGCAATTTGCTTTGATGAATGGACATAATTTCAGTTTTCTCCTTTGCTGGAAAGATATAAAAGTAATGACATATATACGATATGCTATAAAGTATGACAAAAAATAAGAAAATATTCCAAGTGAAGTATTGATAATTAGTAAACCTGAATTCCAACATTTTTCCCTTACTTTCCAGCTCAACAATCTTGTGCAAGCTACTTCATAATTTGAAACTTTGTTTCCTTACTTAAAAAATGAAAAAACAACCAACATCCTCATGAGGTCGCTGTGAAATTACCCGAAGCCACTTACAAGCTTAGTACATTTATTGAGTGGGAGATCAAAAGTGTTCGTTTCTTGTCTTACAAGTTTTGGTGTTTTAACCCAAAATAGGGTTCTATGAGATCAGAAGCAAGAACATACATCAGAAGGTCTGGACTAGCTCTGACACACAATATATGTCTTCTCCTTAAAAAAATACTTTTAATTTGGTATTTTTTAAATGAGCAACTAAAAGTATTTACAGTTAACTTCTTACCCAATGTTGTATGTTCTCTTCATTTATTCCACTGATCACACACATTCTGTTATCTAATATATATTTCTCTCTCTCTCTCTGTCTCTGTGGCTCTCTTTCTTACACACACACACACACACACACACACACACACACACACACACACCAAAGTTCTGAGTTACACATAAGACTTACCTGCAGTTCCAGAGAGTTCCACACTTAAGGTTCGTTCAATAGTCTTGTTCTCAAATGGGGAACCCTTGGGGTCACTGGAAGATATGGCACATTTATAAAAACAAACTGAAATGGAGTTGCTGTAGCCAAAAGTACTAGAACCCCCTTCCCTTCCTGAAAATGGTTGCATTTCTTAATACTTACTTTGGTGACTCTGGGGTCAGAGGAAGAGTTAAAGTTGTTGGTTTGGCTAAAGGGAAAAAAAAGAAACTAATTATGAAATATTGCGTGGTCTTTCTACTATAGTCAAGTTGGAAAAGGATCAGAAAACTGGAAGACTAAACTAAGGAAATCCCTGAATACTGGATCAAAGTCAGATAATAGTCCATTATGCTAAAAGAAATTCCAAACAACATTTGCGTCAGTAAACTATCATTCAAAAATGCATACAAAAACAGAATTTTCCCAAAAATGTACCATCCTGTTACGGATACAAAAATTTGCATCGTACCATCAGAGAAAAATAATGTTTTCTGTTTTAATTTGGAATACAGTACACGGTTTGTTTAGACAAGAAAACAGCTGAGTAACTACAAGGCAACAGAACGTTATGAATATTCAGTTGATTTTACGCCTAAAATGTATAATTTTATGTCTAGCCCTGAGAATAGGTTATTTCTGTGAGGCCAAAGCTCAGGCAATAACCATTGTATTCACTGAAAATTAATGGAGAGATTGTAGCAAATAGTAGACATTGACCCAGCTGGTATAAATGGAGTTCAAGTTCCTAAATTTGCTAAATAACAAAAGTAAGATACTAAGGGTATCAGTTCAGAGATCTATGGACTTGTAGAAAGAGCTCAGTATTTCCTTTCAGCCTTTCTTAGGTCATACTTCCTACAGGAGACATATTCTAATAATGAAGGGAGAGGCAGGATCTTCTCACTCTGATATTCCAATTCCTTATTGGCAATTTTGTGAATGCAAGCTTTAACCATAAATGGGAGTAAATAATGAGAAACACATTTGAGGTACACGTCCACATAATGTATGGATGCAGGGATATGCTTATCTACAGAGACATAAGTACGTAAGTTTATGTCAATCTTTTTCTCACCAAATAACCACTTTCAGAAGGTCAAAAGATAATTATTTATGTAATAAAAATTATAGAGTTGAAACCAAAAGGGTCTTTAAAATAAACTCTCTAATTTTATGGACAAAGAAATGAGACCTAAAGATGCCAAATGATGTTTGCAGGGCCATAAAACTTGTTACTTAAAGAGTTGGCCAAGATGATATTTCCTTTCTCCCATTATCAAAAGAAATTGTATTCACCAGACTTTAAAGTAAATTAATCATCCTCAGTAATTAAGGTCCCCTGAAATGTGAAAATATTATTTATGTCCAAATTAGCCTGAAATTAGGTACTTTACTTGGATAAATACTATTTACATATTTAATCTGTAGTTTAGATTTAGTTTTTAAACAATTGAATGGTATATCATCTATCCAGTGTGCATCCAAAAATATATAGCTCATGCTGTCTCCTACAAATTAGGTACATTGATTAATTGGCTTTTACATATATACAGATAAATGAGCTGATTGCACATTAATTTTTGAGTATGTCTAATTTAATGAGCCTTTCTAAAAGAATGCATTTATGAAGGAACTTTACCCACTTTTACGGTGCTCAACTAATAATTAGTATAATTCATAAAGGTTCTATAGAAAATATAACCAGATATAGAACTAAGTGCTGTACCACACAATAAATGTACATTGAAAATCAAAAGCTGAATAATCAGGTGTGGTGGCTTATGCCTATAATTTAATCACTCTAGGAGGCTGAGGCAGAATTGCAAATTTAAGCTCAGCCTGAGCAACTTAGCAATTTTTGATATCCAGGCTGAAAATTAAAAATATATATATTGAAAAGGACTGGGGATGTGTCTCAAAGGCCTTAGGTTCAATCCACAGAATTGGAAAAAAAAAAAAAAAAAAGAAAGTAGAGAGGAAGACAGGAAGGAAGGAAAGAAGGAAGGGAGGGAGGAAGGAAGGAAGGAAGGAAGGAAAGACAGAAGGAAGGAAGGGAAGAAGGAAGGAGGGAAAGAAAGAAGAAAGAAAAAGAAAGAAAGAAAGAAAGAAAGAAAGAAAGAAAGAAATGAAGTGAAATGAAATGAAATGAAATGAAATGAAATAAAATAAAAGTCCAGTTTTCAACATATAGGGCAAGCTCTGAGAAAAGCTGAAAGAAGACTCCCAAAATTCTGTGTACAGGTAAGATCAAGAGTGATGGAAGAGGACCGAGGATATAGCCCAGCAGCACAAGTGCTTGCTGAGCAAGCACAAGGTCCTGAGTTCGATTCCCGGTACCAAAAAAAAAAAAAGGAGTGATGGAAGAAAAAGAATCTTCAGCAGCCATATTTAATGGCAAACAGGAAATGAGAGCCGTGGGAAGGATGCAGCTCCAAAACCACATTCAGAACCTAATTCCTGAATAAACTCAGGCTCACACGTTTCCCCTAGAAGAACACTGACTTGAGTTATTGGGAGTTTAATGAACACTGTTCCAAGGGCTGGTTATCCAGAGACTGCTGGGATCCTTGAGGGCAGAAATTCATCTCTTTCACCAGATCATGTTAATTTGAGACAAACGCATGAAGAAATGAGGGAATAAATAAATGCGATAACAATATACACCAAAAATATCTCAAGGAATTGGAAAGTATGTGACCCCACAATATTACAGAAAGCACACATGAAATTCCATGAGAACAAATTACAGCACACTAAGAAAGGAAGCCTCAGGGGGCTGGGGATTTAGCTCAGTGGCAAAAGCGCCTGCCTGGCAAGTGCAAGGTCATGAGTTCGGTTCCCAGTACCGGAGAAAAACCAAAAAAAAGAAAAAAAAAAAAAAAAGAAAGGAAGCCTCAGGACATCACTGTCATCCTTATCCTCTGTTCACCTACTTTCTACTTTTTGATTTTCAATAATAATTTATACAGTCTATAGTTGAGCACTTATTGGTTGGTAATAACTTGTGTTTCCTTTCCTTTTGGCCTTTAACAGCTAAAGAGTTTTTTTCTTTAATCAACAAGCTCTGTTCTGGGATAAGCTTTTTATGTCTTGCCATAGATATAAATCCTAAAAAAAAAAATCCACACATAGCTGTTCTTGCTTAGAGAATATATCCTCCAGGGGCCTATTTAGTTTTTCACTGCCATGATTTATAAACTTTTACAGTAATATTTAATGGTAAGTAGACTTTTAGAAAATCTCAAAATCCAAAAAGGACACCCCTTCCCCACAAAAATACAGGGCTTTAGACCATGCAGTGCTGGGCTGGGTTCCCCGATCATGGTATTGTTCATCTCAGGACTTTAAATTTAGCTCCAGGAAATGAATACATGGCCCCCAGGGGAGGTGAAGAGAAGCATAGTGATTTCCAGAGCAAGCCCCATAAGCTGCCCTTTACCTGAAGCCTTCAACACCATGATTCTCTCAGCATGAGGGCACCCTGACTCCCAAAAGCTGTACCAGAGTTTTCATTTAGGAGCTAATATGGGCAAAGGCAATTTGGCCCATTTTGCTAACCGCAATCTCCCTGAACTGACAGAAAGAGATGGACAGTGAATTGTACATATCCACCAGGGAAAATATAATTGAGGGTCAATTTAGAATATTAAAGCAAAGTTCCCCCAAATCCTATGCTAATGGTGATAGACTGATGACGGAAAGTACTCAGAACCCTGGGAAAGAAAATACTTATTAAAAGCAGCAGCAACAACAGCATACCTGTATGAAATAATCATGGTTCAAAAGAGGGGTCAGGGGCTACCACTCTGCACCTAGAAGGAGCAGTTGAAGAAACAAAAGGGAAAAAGTGGATGTTTATAATTGCTATTTCAGAATACTCCTCCTTCCCCCACAACGTTACAGGTGGAAGGTGGAAGCAGGAACATTTTAAAGCAACAGTTACTTTCGATAAGCACTCTTTGGGCCCCCTCGACTACAGCATTTTGAGAGTGAAGAGCCAAAAAAAAGAAAATTACGACTTTGCCAAGAGAGATTTCCCCCAAATCTTCCCAATCTGCGGCAGAAGCATCAGCCTTCTAGCAATGTATGGGAATAATAAAAATCAACCCAGATGTTTCATCGAATCTAGGCAACATTTTTAATAGGAAGAGTAAAATATTCACGAATTTTCAAATCCTTCGGTACAAAATAAAAAAAACTGTGAGCGTATATGTGGTCATAAAAAAAAGAATTCACTTAATAGTCAGGAGTGGCTGTGTAAATGGTATTTACTACTTCTTAAGGTACAGAGAAAAACATTCTATGGTGCCTTATTTTTTTCCATTAGTGGAAGGGAAAAAATAAAAGCTCTTTAATGAATTGGCTAGCCCAACTTGCCCATAACTTCAATGATCTCAGCAGTTCAATGAGTCCTATATTCCTCAAATATGTTGAAATCCCTCCCCGCCCTCATCTACCCTCTGACCAGGTTAACACTTCAGATGTCTTTCTGTGGTCCTGACTTAAACTCCCATCAGGTGAATAGGATATATTCAACCTGGGTCCAGAAGAACTTTCCTCCTCTATCATAAAGTTATTGAGCTCTCCTTCCACAGAGAGACACTAATGGGGTAGACTGTGTGTTCTTTGCCACCTCACGGGCAGAATTCTGGTCCCCACCTTACCTTGTACATGTTGTGACTGCGATTGTGTGTGAGACTTTTTTTTGGAGGTGCATTTGTCTCTGCTGCTGCTCCTATTCTCTGTGGGTTTGGTGTGAGGAGGGTCATCATTTGTGGTCAGATACTTGAGAAGTTCTGAGCAGGGACGTCTTTGTGGCTTTTGCTGTTGACAAATGCTCTTCGCTTTATTGCTCCATGAATTCTCGGTCTTAAAAACAAGGCATAAAGAAAGCTAAAATTAGTGAACTGAACCTTATCAGAATGGATATAGGTTTTTTGAAGAGATGAGCTTTTCAGTGAAGTGTTCAGTCTAAGTGTACTAGATCTATGAGCTGTGAATAATTGTTTGCAGAACAAGGGAAGAAAATTACATTTAAAATTCCTAAATGACATTTATGCAGCTTTTTATTTCATTTCTCCTACATTTCAATGTTCCTACTCAGCAACATGTAACTAACAAGACCCTACAGCGCCTTTACTGTGAATAAAAAAAAAAGTAAGCTGGTTTAAACCTTAATTTACCACTGATTGCCGAAGCCCAGTATTCACAACTCTCTTAAGTACCCCTTAACGCTACGTTTTCACTCACAGTGAATAGCAAGACAAACATTGTTTAATACAGCCTGCTAAACGAATTATGTCATTGCCAGCATTCTACCCAATTAATGGCAGAGACAGATCTTTTGCAGTGATTCCAAAGCAATCTTTCTTAGGTTAGACAGCTGGCAAAACAGCCATCCTGAATCTTCAAGTCATTCATAGATAAGACCAGATTATCAGCCCATTCTATTGTAACCCATGTTAAGGCATGCAATCACATGGGCAAAGAACTGCACCCAGTGGAACTTCCCTTGCAATTACCCCAAAATCAAATGTATATGACCTCTCCCTACTATTCAAGGAGTTCAAGGGCTGCCTTTGGAAATCCATTTCACAACCTGTCCCACCATTGAGAGGTACCTGCAGTGTCTCAGTTGAATTAATACGTAGATAACTTTCATCTGCTTTATAGCTTCAAGTAAAAGCCCTTTGTTACTGCCCTCCCACATTAAAATGTGGATGTTTGTACCTTAACAACTGCAGGGCTTGTTCTGATCCTGTGATTGTGATTTGCATGGTTCTGGGTACTGAGACCACTGCATTCATTATAACTCAACTGAGTGTTTGCCGGTGCCAGTAAGAGCTTCTTAAGCTAGAAACACATCAGGAAAGGAGAAAATAAGATAAGTTATGCATCTCCTAAGCATTAGAATATGTCACTGAAATTTTAAACTTAAAATAACTGATTATAATGATAAAAATAATTATCTCACTCTTTAATTTTATCACACCTTACCATAATAGTGCCAAAGGAAACTTTTTTTACAATAACAATAGTAAATTTAATATGACACTGCCAACTATGGAAGTATCTACTTTTTCTACATTTGAAACTTGGCATTGTCACTCTTAATATTTTAAAATTTGTGGTAGATAAAGTAAAGCACTCATTCTTAAAATGATTTCCAAATCACTGCTGCATGGACTGAGAAATATTCCCTTGCTAAAAGAGGAGTTGAGAATAGTAGATATGTGTTTCCTCTTCTAAAACCAAAATAAATCAAGTGTCAATAAATGAAAGATCCCATGATGCTTTGAACTGTTTTTCACAACTGACTATACAAATTTATTGCTTCAAACAATATGCAGAAGGAAGCAGTGGCTGTCGCTGATTTCAGAAGGGAAAGAAAGCATTCAGAGAGTCCTGTAACCGAGCCTGTAACTTAAACGTGGGCAAAGCATGTATTGTTTCTTGATCTCTGTTTCTTCACTTGTCTAGATGACTCTCAAGACCTTCCTGCCATGGCATGCCAGATGTCTCTGAGTCAGTGACACCTCTCAATTAAACAAATGGTGCAGAAGAAAGCCATCAGATATTAACATGAAGAAATCAGGGTGCTAATCAAGTGATACTGACAAAAAGAGCAACTAGAAAATAAATAAAGGCAGTGACTTCTGAAATAGTCTTCACAAGACCAGAAATCTCAAAATACAAAAGAATTAAGGTCTCTGTATGTCTCTGTGGTTTTTCTTTTAACATTTAAAAGCTTGGGGATATGAGAAAAACAACCTCCAAATGGCATGTCAAAGCACATTACTGAAGCCCTGATGATGGCATTTCATAATTTACACAGCATGCTCTTCTATCAGATTTATGGTGGATGACAAACGGCTACCATAGATGAGAAGGTAAACTGTGTCTTAGAACTAATAAAATTCTGGTCAAGCACTGTGTTGAGAAGAAACTCCACTCTTCATTGCCAGCAAATTCCCTCTTCATTGCCTACCATAAATTTAAGTAACTTAGGTTGCAAATGTGCTATTATTTTTCAATCATCGAAGAAATATGGACCCATGGATCCAAAGTCTTAAAACATTGCATGCTCCTGTATCCAACAATTCTACTTAAAGAATTGTAATCATAAGATAAAAATGCAAACATGTCGATTATTACACAGGTCACGGTAGTGAAAAACAGCAGGAAAATTCTGCATATCCAAACATAAGGATTGCTTAATAAATCATAGTTGTCCTCACAATAAGATTTTACTCTGTACCACCACTAAAAAGTGTGCTTATAGCTAAAATTTCACCCTCATGTTCATGATCTACCTTCAGACTGAAGGAGAGTTCAATCATTTTGTATTAGAGGTCTTTTGAAATCATGGGTGAATCTGTAGTCTCTTCCTTCTAGTTACTTTTTGTGAGTTTTCACCATAAACAGAAGTAATACTAAGAATAAAAGTACCACACATGAGCAACAAAAGATAGCTTTCAAAATGAAGTGATACTACTCAGAACTCTACGAGCAGCAATTTTATACAGAAGGTCGCAGGATGTGCAACTCTGAGTGTGCTTGGGGAAAAATTCTGGCATCAGTCTAAATCAAAACTCCAAACCTTATTGTTACTACATCATACCCATGCAGCGGGTAGCCAGAGGCAACTCCGTTTCCTGCTAAACAGTAGGAAGGGTTCTTACTAGAGACGGCTCTTCTGCCTCCTGAGGCGGAGGGGTGCCGTCAGGCATGGAGGAAGGACTGGCCTCGTTGTCAGTGGTCACGTCTCCATCTGTCAGTGCGTCAAATGAGGGCAATCCGTCTTCATCCACAGGGAGACTGTCCAGTGTCTCTGTGAGGACTGCTAGCAAGTTTGCCTCATTTTCTTCATCTATCTTCTGCAAAAACAGAAAAAAATATCCCCCAGAAGAAGTGAGCTGACTCTGAGAGTTAGCTTACACTATTAATCAGCATAAGCTGAACATGTTTGAGCTAGCGAATAAGTCATATGTGAAACCTTGAATACTCATGCAAGGACCCCAAGGTCATGTCTTCCTCAAACTCCAAGCTCACTTTGGGTCTGAGTCACATAATTAATGAATAACTCTCCTACGCCAATCTCAGACTGTTGAGGTCTAAAATTTAGCAAAGTGTTAAGTCAGTGGTTAATATTGCTATGAATGACTGTGTCTTCTTCACAGTCATTTTCCACATGTTTATCTCTTTTTCCTCTAACTAAAAGAGAAGATGTAGAGAATCTCGGGCTTGAGGGAGTCTTAACCATCTTCTACCTAATCGTCATTTATTGTGTTCAGCACTCCTGCATAGCATATCCCCAAATGTTCCTGGTGATGGAACTCCACTAGAAACTTAAGAAAATCTGTACACTGTCATGAATTCAATTATAATCTCATCATTGAACACTCCAAAATCATTTATTTCTTCATCTGACATCTCTTCCAACTTTCATCATAAATCTCTATACCTGCCTATTGGACATCTCTACTTTATAATAGCTCCCTCATCTCCAAAACCTAGACTTTGGACCTTTCACAACAAAACTGCTACTTATCTTGAATTCTTTAGTTTGACTAACAATTTTTCAGAAACTCTGGAACTTCCTCCGTGCCAACATCCTGCTAAGGGTTGGTGACGCAACAAGAAGTAAGACCAAACTTTATTCCTGCAAGAACTCTCTGGTGGGAAGGAAGAACCTGTAAACAATTCATTAGAATAAATAATACTATTTTCAGTACTTCACAAAAACACTCAAAGACTCTCAAACTAAGAGTTAGGTGCCTTGTTAACAGGACAATGCATTATACATATACACCTGGACAGGCAGCGCCAGGGTTTGGCACACAATATAGATACAGAGTCAATGATTACTTACCGAGTAATTCATTGATCTGCATTTATTGCTAACATTGTATACGGTGCAGACTGCTTTCTTTTCCTTCTTTTAGCACTTCACATTGTTTGCCCAAATTGACCCGCTTCCAAATTCTGTTTTTTAGATTCTGTATGCTATGACATTAACAATATGGGCTAAATTATCCCACACAGATTCTATTATAAAATGCACCTAAGCTGCTGACATCTAATGAAGCCAGCGGTGCCCACACTGCTTTCTCTGTAGCACTGAACTCCAGTTAATTGACCTGACAAAATTACAAGAATCACAGAATAAGACAGCTAATCAGAAAATCAAATTGTATTACCAGAGAAATTAGGCAGGGCTTTATCACGTATACATTCTATTTTCACACAAAAATTGTTTCCTTCATTACTGATCTGTCTCTATGCAGGGCAAAAACTATAGACTTCTTTTTCTTTGTGATTCAAGAGGCCGAGAAGGTCCATTTGTACTGACTGATGGTGGACTCTCGCTGGCATTTTTTACATTTGCATAATGTATCTCCATACTGCCCCTGGATCTGGGATCCTGAGTCAACTAGTGTGACAATGAGATGAAGGTACAGGCTCTAGCAAAGGGCTAAGTCCTAAACCGAAGTGAGAGCTGTTCATTTCAAAATGACACACTTACTTCTGTACATGGATCAATTCATTAAATTCTAAACAGCACAACTGAGTAATAAAAGCCTATTGAATACCTCCAAGCTTCAATTCTTCTGGACCCTATCCATGGAATCCTAATAGCAAAAGTGAAAAGAATTTCCCTTATTTTCTGTTCAGGGTCATAATCTGGTACCCAAAAATTCCAGTCACCCCCTCTTTGAGTTCCCCTACGTGCCAAAAGAGCAATTCAGGTTATTAAACTCTTTTGAATAAAATTGTATTTAAACAAAATTTATATATTTTTAAGATCATCTCAAAATCATGAGATTTGCATTACAATAAATGACATCATGTTCTTCAATAAAATAATCTTTCCAATATCTCAAAATATCTCTTGTATAGGTATACAGGAGCACATATATATACTATCAGTAAATTGGACATTTTTTCAGGTATCCTATTTTTCAAAAAGGCTTATTTCACTGAGGTTCAAAAACAGCTCAAGAAAAATAGTTATGAATGTTTACCAATAAATGAGGAATTTTGTTTACCCTGATTTAAATTTTGTGTTTGGCTTTCCAGCAATAGTACAAGCTGCTATTTGCTTTAAATCACATAATACAATAGCGCCTTAGCTCTATCGCTTATGTAAACAAACTAAGATAATTCCAATCAAGTTAAAATGACAAAGAACACTTAAATTAACTAGTTTTCTCCAATTTCTTTAATAAGCCTGAGTGAATGTATACCAAATACAAAGGCAGAAATATTGGAGCTTGATAATGTCATAATTAATTTACAAGATCTGATTAAACCACCAACTACATTAATATTCCTTTCTACTGGAACCACATGGGAGGGGGATATTTTTGAGATGGCAGATTAGCATGGTGTGTGTGTGTGTGTATGTGTGTGTGTAATGAAATGTGTGTATGTGTGTGTGTGTGATGAAATGTGTGTGCATGGAGGGATAGTATACAATCACTATGTTTCAGTAGAACTATATTTACTATTTATAGTATTCACACAAAATGATTAATAAATATTCTTATCATCCCTTTATGTGAATAATTCAGAAAGGCACCAGAAGATCATTGGTTTTGGTAAAACTCCTGTTGAATTATGGAAGAAAAATATGCTATTATCTGAAATATTTTGTGTTTTCTTTAACCATGGCAGTCTGGGAAGAAAATTCGATTTCACTGGTGACACTTTGTGTCAAAGTTCTACAAATATTTCTACATGTAAAGTTAAGTGGACGCTGCCCCTTACTGTAGCAATTTCAATTAATCTCATATGAGTTTCAACAATCACAAGCCCCAGAGAAGGCTGGATGTGACAAAGAGGACTCTGTTAAACAATTAATGTCACTTCCCATTATTGCTTCAGTCCCAATTTACAGAGCAAATAAATCAAAGTCGCTGCAGATGAAGCACACTGGTCTATGAACACATGTCTATTCACAAGTGACAGGATATGGAAACACATTATTAATCAGTAAAATGACATTGCAAGATAACCTTTCAAAGACTGGACTCAGATACTGTTTTTTAATTGTTAAAATTACTGTTTTGCAGGAATACACTTGTTATGTCCACCTCTGGTAAAAAAAAAAAAGGAAGGGAGGGAGGGAGGGAGGGAGGAGGAGGTTGAGAAAGAGAGAGGGGGAGAGAGACAGCAACAGAGAGAGACAGAGACAGAGAGAGAGAGAGAAAGAGAGAGAAAGAAATCACAACCCAGAGGTTTAGAAGAAAGAGAAGAAAGGTCCAGCTAGGTAGGGATCTACACAAACTAAGCTCTGCCTTGGATGTCAGAGAAGGTGAAAGAAGATTGGCCAACAGGTATTTCCACGGTGGAGCTGCTTCCCTACCAAGCAACATTTCCTACAGGGTGTGGTAGGGGTAACAAACTTGAGTTCTCCCAACATAATGGGATTCTGCTGCTATTTCTCTGACCTAAATGAACTTCTGTGTGCCTGGAAAATTTCACTCTCCGTGGTCTCTCCAGGAAACAAGAAGACACATCTACAAAACCACATCCCAGGTGTAAAAAGTTTCCAGGAACAGATACTATGCAGGCGTCTGTACTAACAACCCCCAATTCCTAAGCCATGCCACATCTTTAATAAAGGATACTTTAGAACAATTCGTTGGAGGCTTGTTGCCACCCTTTGGGTGTACTGGGTCCCAGTGTGGCCTGTACTAAGTCTGACATAATTCAAATGGCACAGCTAGAAGAAGGTAGATTGTGCCCTTCCCATGTCCAAGGAGACCTTGATACTGAAATTCTGGACCAGGTGTATGATATCTGGGCCTTTCCTTCTTTGCGCTTTGTTGACAAAAAGATCTTCCCAACGGTTAAATGACGTGAAGAAGACAGTGCTGTCAACTCACCCAAACACACACTCCAGAGGGTGAGCAAACCCTTTAAATCAGGGAGAAGAGGGACTCTAACAGGATGCTAACAGACGCCTGAAGGGAGAACCACAGAGTGAACACTGCATGTGGTATCCCAAAGCCTTCTAAATGCGGGCTATTATGGAAGGACCAGGCCCTGCTTATGATAGTAATTTTTTTGCATCTTGTAGAATTCCAATTACACTCTGTGTCCCCAGATTCTCACACTTGCTTGATCTCTGTTTGATAAAAATAGTTTAATAGCCATTTAATCACAGCTTCATTATCTTAGCTCTCTTAATGCGAATTAGGCCAAAAGAATTCTTGCTTTCTCGTTATTCAAATCATCAATAAGAAGGAAACAGAAGGGTCTTCTTATCATTCATCAATCAGTTTCAATTTCTTAGACATTGTTTACTGAGAGATCGATCTATAAGAGAGATCACTTAGCCTCTATTTTTTCTGTACAAAATTTCATATTTTTGCCTAATTACAGAATTTTCCCACTCATTATTAATAGGATAAAAAAATGAGAACACTTCAATACAGTTGCCCATCATCTTGTTTACTCATATTAGAACTTCAGTTTTTGAGCTCGATCTACCACCAACTATTAGCTCAAAGCCAGCTTCCCCCAAATACCCAGCATGCCCTGGGCTTCCTCCTTGCCCCATCCTGCTGATTTGGAAACAGCTAATGAAGACAAAATTAACTTCTACTTTAAGTGAGGTCTAATTAGGAAGGGAAATCTGCTAGGGCAACATCTGGTAGTGTATTCTGAAGCCAAATATAAATGACATTTTTGGATTATCCACTACTTTGGATTATTTGTTCCACCGGGCCCCACCAGGAGTTCAAATAACTAAATGGAGAAGCAACTTTTAGGATAAACTTTAGGAGTTCAAATAAGAAATAGGACTGATCATAGCTGTCCTTTTCCTGACTCTCTATACATAAAGCTCTGGACCTCATCCCATGTTTCA